TACACATCTCTTTTCACCTCTGAGACTATATACTGTTCTTTTCTATAGCTAACCTCCCCAGCTAACTAGCTCAGAAGTTAGAAAAGCAAAGAAGCTCTTTATCACCCTCTCCCAACAATGCTCCATACTCAAGTGTTGAGTGACCACTCCCCTGTCATTTGGGCATCCATTAACATCCATTAACCAATGACCAAAGCAAAACCTAAGGGAATATCAGAGTAGATGCAAAAAGAAATTAAGATGATCTGGAGATGGTCCTGGCACAGACAGGTAGTGACCACCAGTAAACTAATTCAGAGGTTCCTTACACTACAAAGAAACCTGTAATAAAGATTTTATTATCACATGTAGTAATCATAATGACCCTAAGAAGTATGATTACACCCATTCTACAGGGGAGGAAAACTGATGTTATAGAGGGTAAGTGACTTGTCCATAGATATGACAGCTCTTTGTCCAGATTTCCCAATTTGAATCCAGCACCACGGCTGGGGCTCAGCAGTAGAGTATCTGCCTGGGATGCATGAGGTCTGAGGTTTGATCCCTAGCACCCCCTCCCCGACAACACCCCCCAAAAAAGCCAAATTTCTGTCTCTGACCTCAAACTTCTCTCTCTGACTTAAATGTCCAACTGGTGATTTGCTGTCTTAGTCCTTTTTCTGTTGTGATAACTGAATACCTGAAACTAGGTAATATATAAGGAAAAGAATGTTTCTTAAAGATCTGTCACCTTTTCAGTTCTTCTTGCAGCATTGTAACATGGCAGAAGGCATCATATGCTGAGACAGAGCAAGTGTGCAACGGAAAATTAGATTTTCTAATAAAACCACTCCCTCGATAATCAATTAATCTATGAATGGATTAATATGCTCATGAAAGCAGAGTCCTGATGATCCGCCCCCAAGGTCCTACCCTCCAAATGTCATTAATATATGAACTTGACTATTTAGTTTCTAACACATGAAATTTGCAGAACACAATTGTACCACAATTTTACCACAATACTTGCCATCTCCATCTAATTTATAATAGGAATCTCAAATATAACAAAATCCAAAGAAAACTACAGGTTTTCCTGGCTAAATGTCCATTTCCCTTTCAGTCTGCTACTTCACCTCAGTAAATGGTATCATCTACCCAGTTCAAACACCAAATCTTTCTCCTTTGTACACCAGACTCCTAATCCATGCTCTACCTCTAAACTCCAGCTCTACCTCTTAATTTAGCTTAATTTGGCTTAATTTAGCCAAAGCCTAAATTAAGGTACCATGCTCATTCCCCTTAGACTACAGTAACAGCAGATTTCCAGGATTCAAGCTCCATCAGGAAGGGATTTCTGCTTACTGTTGAAGCCTAGAACACTGCTTGCATATGCAAGGTAGCTGCTAAAGAACAGTCACTGAACAAACAGCTCAGACTATTCTCCCTACCTCCCCTCCAGCCTGATACAGTCCAATCCTCATACACTCAAAGGGATCTTTAGAGTGTAGACTGAACCACGGCTCACCACTCCCACAGCTTTTCACTGAAGCCAGAATAAAACCTAAATTTCAATCCCACTGAGGCTTGTTAGCCGCTAGGCAGGAACTTTTGGGAGCAAACACTTGTACTTGTTGTGGAAGAAGCTGTGGCCCCTTTAAAATGACTACTGAGCTGGGTGGACCAGTTCTGCAATCCCAGACTCAGCACTTAGAGAAGGCTAAGGTATCACTTAAGCTCAAGAGTTCAAGACCTGCCTGGGCAAAGATTGATACTGTCCCTTCTTCAGGATTTTTTGTTTGTTTCAGATAAGGTTTTCCAGCCTGGGACAGAAGCTCACAGCTATGATCTCAGCTACTCAGAAGGCTGAGGCAGGAGAATCACAAATTCCAGGCCACTCTGAGCAGCTTAGCAAAATCCCGTCTCCAAAAAATAATAAAATAATAATATTATATAATAACATCAAAACATTAAATAAAAATAATAAAAAGGCTGGGGATATAGTTCAGTGAAAAAGCACCCCTGAGTTGAATCCCCAGTTTCCAAATAAAAAACAGATAAGGCCCTGAGAAAAAATACACAGGAACTGGGTCAAACCAGCCAATCTCCCAGCTACTCTTCTAGTTGACCTAAACTGTGCTTAATATAATTTCATTATAATGCTAGATTTTCTGACCTGGAAGCATTCCCACTGGCAACCTTTGAACATGCCATGTATGAAGAAGCTTGATCTCAAACTGAGCACATCAGAACTGTGCCTGCCTCTACTTGTAATGACAAGTCTTTCCAATGAATATGAATATGCATAAGTCTCCCCAATGAAATCCCCTTGCTTCCTTTGGTCTGAGATACACTGCTTTGGGAATTATCCCAGTGCTCTCTTCCTTACTGCAAATAATAAACCTCTCTTCACTCTTTAATCTTGTGGTTGTGTTTATTAGCTGTGTTCTTACCAAGAAGTGCTATCCGTTGTTCTATTACAGGCTCATAGTCTCTCTGGACTGGCCCACCTCTCAGACCTTATTCAGCCCCTCTTTAATTCCTTGAACATCCTGGAAGACTCCTTACTCAGATCCTACTGTGGGTGCCTTTCTTCACTTGTCAATTCAAGGGGCATCTTAGACTCCTCTACCAACAATTCTTCCAAGGCCTTGTTACAGGACTAGTGAATTTATTGTTCCATTGTTTACATGCTATGGAATGTGCACTCGCTCTTTTGAGCGCACTCTCTCTCTCTCTAACACACACACACACACACACACACACACACACACACACACACACCACTGAGAGCAAAGATGTCTGTTTGTCTTACTATTTTCCTGGCATATAGTAGGTGCTCAAACAAACAATTGTTTGCTTTGTTTTTGTTGGGGGTGGGAGAATCAAATCCAGAATTTCTTGAATGCTGGGCAAATCACTCTACCACTGAGCTAGACTCCCTCACCTTCCAGGTAAACTCCTTCTCCTTCTCCTCCCTCCTTCTCCCTTCTCCTCCCTCCTTCTCCCTTCTCCTTCCTTCTCCCTCCTTCTCCCTCCTTCTCCTTCTCCTTCTCCTTCCTTCTCCCTCTCCTTCTCCTTCTCCTTCTTCTTCTTCTTTTTTTCTTTTGGTAGTTGTAGATGGACAGAATGCCTTTATCTTGCCTATTTTGATGTGGTACTAAGGATCGAACCCAGTACCTCACACATGCTAGGCAAGTGCTCTGCCACTGAGCTATGGCCCCAACCCCAGGTAAACTTCTTGAAATCATGCTCACTGCATTGAAACCTACCATTATGATGCCTACAGCAGTACTGAGAAAGCAGAAGTTAACTTTCCTGTGATGAATGACAAGGATTTGGTTCTTTCCAACATCACGAATAGGGGTATTTTAGAGACAAGTCACTAAATCCTGGCAAAGTATCAATCATACCAATAAATTATTTTACAATACCCATTTGATTACTGTTAATAATTTTCAGAGCCCTAAATTGAGCACTGGGTATCACTGAAAGATCCTCAGAGGTTTTTAAGCAATCAGATGGATGCCCCTAAATATATATAATTACCACATAATGAAAAGCATTATATCAAATTGGAGAGAATATATCTCAAAACAACAAGAATAAAAGATCTGCAGGGAGCTGGTGGTATAGCTCAGTGGTAGCACTCACCTAGCATGTAAAAAGACCTCGATTGGATCCCCAGCACCCCAAAAAGAAAGGAAAAAATACCTTGAAGTTTTCTGAAAACAAATTTTGTCTTAGTCTCAAAAGCCCTGGGAGCATTCCTGTGCTCTTTCTTCTCTTGCCTGTCGATTACAGGCTCGTAGTCTCTCTGGACTGGCCTAAGCAAAAAAGTCATTTTGCTTAAAGTCAAAAAGCCTCAATTTCCTCATCTCTGAAAATGCCAACTTGAATGCATGCCAAACACAGTATTAGACCTCAGAAACCAAGATAAGGCCACATGGCCACTCCAAAGAGGACGGATTATTTGCCCCTATAATCGGTGGCTTACAGAAACCCACAGCTTAACTCCTGCATCACTTACAGTTTTGCCTGGATTGTCCTGAAGTTGAATGTAAGCAAGAACACTCCTGCACCTGAATGCCTGACGGCCCCCACAGTCAGACTCATTTTTAAAATACACCATTAAAACCCCATACAGAAATACTGACTACATGAAACTCCAAATTTAGAAGGTTTTACCCACTTCGTTTTTTCTAACCCTACAGAAAGGAATGAAATTAGCATCGAAGAGCTAAAATCTACTAATTCTGCCCTGATGCACTACGAACTGGTAGGAGACGCCTATCCCAATTGGACATATATGGCTTAGATACCAGGGTTTTAATAAGCGAGATTAAGGAACAGGTTCAGGCAAGTTGAGCTACAAAGAGGGACGGGAAGGCTTGCGTCCTACTAAAGGAGTCGGGCTTGAGCCTAGACAGGGCTGGGTCGGAACACTCGGGAAGCTGAACAGAACCTTCCCTGAGCCCAGACCTGAGCCTTGGGGTTTGGAATCAGGCTCCAGACATTCTCAACGGGACAGAGCCCAAGTTCTAGGGCTGGAGATGCCAAACACAACCTGCCTGAACTGTTTTGACTAGAGTTTCGTTCAAAGTAAGGGGAAGGAGATGTTATGCAAATCCCGGTCTTTTCCTGAGTTCAACCGACAGACAGAACCCGGAGGGCTGGAGCTCAGCGCCACTAGCCGGTGTCCTACACGGGATTTGACACATCTTCGGAGACGTCGGATCCCGAGCGAAACCCTGAATACCCCGCCCCACGCGGAATCCCGGAGGCCGTGCGGGAAGATCTGGGTCGCCTCTCGGGCTTCCCCACGGTCCTTCCCGCCAGCCCGCTGAGCTTCTAGCTCGGGCCCGAAACGCTCACCCAGGCAGCGCGGGGTCAGCCCGAGCACACCACCAGCCCCACCTACGGCCGCCGCGCTGGACGCTCACACAGATCAACCCAAAGCTCAAAGGCTCCTGGCCGGGTCCACGGATCTGACAGCCCCTCTGGCGCCTGGCCTCGCTCACCTGGCCCGCACAGCACCGAGCAGACATCGCGGCGGCCGACGAGCACGGGGGCGCTGCCCGCTCGCTGCGCCACTCAGGCCCTCCTGGCTCGCTCGCCACACGAGCGCCGCTCTCCGCACCCACTCACGCCTCCAAGCCAGGCAGCCTCAGCTGAGAGCTGGGCACCGCGGCCTGGGTAAAAACAACCGCCGCCAAACCCCGCCCCGTGGGCAGGCCCCGCCTCGGCCACACCCCGTGCCCGCCCCTTCCCGGGCGCCGGGCGGCGGAGCAGGCTCGCCCTGGGCTCGCACTTCCGCTGGCGTCAGGCGGCTAAGTGGTAGGGGTCACTGGTCCTTGGGACGTGGGGCTCCCACCCTCCGGACCTGGTGAACCAGCCAAGCCTTTCCGGTCCCTAGCTGGAGAGGGCGCAGCGCCTCTTCGCCTCTGCTTGGGTGGTTACTGACTCTAGTAGAGCTTGCAGCTTTTAGAGAGCCATCACCCTGTGTTATGCACTGATCCTGCCCAGTGGAGATTCTCTGTTGCGCTCTGCCTAGCACCAAAGGAGACATACACGAAGTCCCTGTTTTGAAATCCCTTTACCTTCCTTATCTGCCAAGACCACTTTTCAACTTTGAGGCTGCCCTGTCCTCCCAAACTTCCTCAAATGCCTAGGCTGTAATTCCCTGAGGTTCCCAGGATACTGCAGCTTTCCAGTGAGAGCTCTTTCTGCGCTTCCCTGGATATTGAGACATTTCCAGCCTTTTCTTCCCTGCGGCCTGAGAAACCAAAGACCTCGGTTCCTCTCACCGGACCTCACTATAAGGAGGATGCCAGTAATTACTTGTCCAGTGCAGAAGACAGAGCACTCCCAGTTTTGTTTTGTTTTGTTTTGTTGTGTCTATTCAGATCTCTTCTCACAGCCATTTAAGTCTTTGACTTTCAAATAAACATTACTGCATCCATTTGAGAAATGTAGCAACTGAAGCCCGGACAGGTTAAATAACTTGTGCAAAGCCTCACAAAGTGAAAAAAGCAAAATTGGGACTAGAATCCAAGTGTGTGATCCTCTGGCAAATAACAGGAGGCTTGACCTTCACTGGGCCCAGCCTTTGACAAAGGAGTGTCTTGTTTGATGAGTGTAAGAGTTGGAGACTAAGAAGAAAGTTGCATGGGAATCAGCCCTCAGGTTATGAGCTCTGCTCCTCTTCCAGTATCTTGGATTCAGGTGTTTAGAGGAAGAGACATAATTGAGCAGGCCCTATTCAGAACCAGGAAAAGTAAAGAGGAGAGTTGGCACTAACTCAAAACAAAAACAAAAATAGGGTAAACCAAATCAGAGCAGCAGGGCAACCTGCTGGGTGGCAGCCTGTGACTCATCAGAAGCCTGGGACCTCACTGGAGATTTACAGAGAGTTTCATTGTTTGCTTCCAGGGTCACTTCATTTCACTTCAGACTTTAGCCCCACTACTGGCCTGGAGAAACAGGTTGGGCACAGAGTTTCTGCCCCACTGAAAGGAGCTCAGCAGCTAAGGAGGTGGGGGTGGAGTGAAATCTATAAAGTTTGAACTCCTCCCCTTTGGGGAAAACTGGGGCTTAGGAAGGCAGAAAACACACACCAGAAACCACTGGGTTAAGGGTCAAGCTAGGAATGAGGCTTCCTATCCCTGACTCCAGTGCTCATTTTGCCAAATTGGTGCCAGATTGGAAGGATTCTGTATGTATGGATATTGGCTACCTGGAAAAGAAAGGCATACTTCTTAATAACTTGAGGATTATGTTGGGAGTATAGTTCAGAACAGTAGCAGAATACAAAATGAATTCAGTAAAGTAGCAGGATATAAAATCAACACCTATAAATCAAAGGCATTTCTGTACATTGGTGACAAATCCTCTGAAAGAGAAACTAGAAAAACCATCCCATTTATAATAATCTCAAAAAAATAAAATACTTGGGAATCAACTTAACAAAAGAGGTGAAAGACCTGTACAATGAAAACTACAGAATGCTAAAGAAAGAAAATTAAGAAGACCTTAAAAGATGGAAAGATCTCCCTGTTCTTGGATAGACAGACTTAATATTGTCAAAATGACCATACTACCAAAAGCACTATAAAAATTTAATGCAATTCCAATCAAAATCCTAATGACATTCCTTATAGGAATAGAAAAAGCAGTCATGAAATTCATCTGGAAAAATAAGAGACCTAGAAGAGCTAAAGCAATCCTTAGCATGAAGAGTGAAGCAGGGGGGCTGGGGATGTGGCTCAAGTGGTAGCGCGCTAGCTGGTATGCGTGCAGCCCGGGTTCGATCCTCAGCACCACATACCAACAAAGATGTTGTGTCCGCCAAGAACTAAAAAATAAATATTAAAAATTCTCTCTCTCTCTCTCTCTCTCAAAAAAAAAAAAAAAAAGTGAAGCAGGCGGTATCACTATACCAAATCTTGAACTATACTACAGAGCAATAGTAAAAAACAACATGGTATTGGCACCAAAATAAACTTATAGACCAATGGTACAGAATAGAGGACATAATAACAGTTATGTTATATTAGACAAAGGCACCAAAAACATATATTGGAGAAAAGATAGCCTCTTCAACAAAATGAAATTAAATCCCTCTCTCTCACCATGCACAAAATTCAACTCAAATTAGATCAAGGACCTAGGAATTTAACCAGAGACCCTGTGCCTAATAGAAGAAAAAATAGGCTCAAATCTCCATCATGTAGGACTAGGTTTAAAAAGTTTCTTCTCAGCAAAACAAACAATCTGTAAGGTGAATAGAGAGCCTACATCTTGGGAGTAAATTTTTAACCCTCACACATCCGATAGAGCACTAATCTCTAGGGTTTATGAAGAACCAAAAAGCTAAACACCAAAAAAAAAAAAATTAACCCAATCAATAAATGGGCCAAGGAACTGAACAGACACTTCTCAGAAGATATACAATCAACCAATAAATATATGAAAAAATGTTCAACTTTTCTAGCAATTAGAGAAATGCAAATCAAAACTACTCTAAGATTTCACCTCACTCTAGTCAGAATAATAAATGTTGGCGAGGATGTGGGGCAAAAGGCACACTCATGCAATACTGGTGGGACTTCGAATTGGTGCAACCAATCTGGAAAGCAGTATGGAGATTCCTTGGAAAACTGGGAATGGAGCCACCATTTGACCCAGCTATCCCACTCCTCAGTTTATACCCAAAGAACTTAAAAACAGGATACTACAGGAACACAGTCACATGGATATTTATAGCAGCACAATTCATAATAGCTAAATTGTGGAACCAACATAGATGTCCTTCGTAGATGAATGGATAAAGAAAATATACACAATGGAATATTACCCAGCATTAAAAGAAAATAAAATCATGGCATTTTCAGGTAAAAGGATGGAGTTGGAGAATATTGTGCTAAGCAAAGTAAGCCAGTCCCATAAAAACAAAGACCAAATGTTTTTTCTCTGATATAAGGATACTGATTCATAATGAGGATGGGGATGGGGATCATGGGAGGAATAGAGGAACTTTAGGTAGGGCAAAGGGGAGGGAAGGAAAGGGAAGGAGTATGGGGGTAGGAAAGATGATGAATGAAATGGACATCATTACCCTAGGTACATGTATGAGGACACAAATGGTGTGACTCTACTTTGTGTACAACAAGAGACATGAAAAATTTTGCTCTGTATGTGTAATATGAATTGAAATGCATTCTTCTGTCATATATAACAAATTAGAATAAATACATAAGTGATAAAAAAATTTTTTTAATGACTGGCTGAGTGAGTTAAGCCTGTTTTCTCCTCTGCAAAACCAAGCTAATAGAACATTCTCCAAGAATTAGTAAACTCATCTCTACAGACCACGCAGTACAAAGCCTGGCCTCCTTGAAACATTGACTGAAAGGTAGTTCCAGCTGGACACAGTGACACACACCTATAATCTCATTGATGTGTTCATAACTGGAAGGACTATTGAGAGATGGTAGAAACTATATAAGACAGGACCTAGTTGAAGGGAGGAGGTCCTAGGGAGTGTGCCCTTGGAAACTATATTATATTCCCCATCTCTTGTTCTCTCTCTTTTTGCTTCCCAGATGTTATATGGTGAGCATCTTTGCTACATCACATGTTCCCCATCATGATGTCTATCTTACCAGAGGCCCAAAGCATCAAGACTAAGTGATCACGGACTAATTCTACTTTATTTTATTTATTGGTTCTAGGGATTAAACCCAAAAGAGATTTACCAACTACATCCCTAGGCCTTTTAAATTTTTATTTTGAGAAAAGTTCTCACTAAATTGACCAGGCTGGCCTTGAATTTGTGATCCTCCTGCCTTAGCCTCCAGAATCAGCTGGGCTTATAGACATGTGCCACTGTGCCCAGCCCTTTTGGATATTTTGCTATAGCAACAAAAAAAGCTAACACAAGCTCAAAGTCCCAATAGTGCCTGGTACCAACAAAGTCTCCAGAGTGTTGGCATCTGTACACAGGCCTGAGGTGAACCCTGCCCTGCTATCTGCATGTGACAGATGTTCTCCTTTGTTATTTATACAGATAAACTTGAGTCAGGATCTCTGAGTCAGGAAGGGAAAGGAAGGGAGAAAAAAAAAAAAATCTGTGCAGGTTCATTCCCCTGTGTCCACTCAAAGATCTCAGAGGAATGGCCAGGTCTGAAGGTTTACCCCTCCTTCCTGGCATTGAGGACTCCACGATTACTATTTTAGGTCTGTTTTAAGTAGCATCTTTTACAACTGTGGTTGGTTAACAAAAGTAGAAATGATGTTAGCAGACATAACATGAAACAGTGGCAACTTGTTTTTTATTTAAAATACTCTGGAGACTTTTTCAAGGAAGACATGGTATTCCTAACATGTAGGTATTTATACAGTCAAGCTCTTTTGATGTGGATTTTTCAGGAACAAGCAGTAACAGATCTATTTTAGTAAGACTGTAGCTTTTGGCAGACCATGTGAAATATTTTCCCCACAAAAATTTTCCTAAATTAACTGAATTAGCTCCTTTTATACACTGTAATTATATATGTATTTATATAAAACATAATTTGCTTTCTTTTCCCCCTCTTAAATTTTAAGATTTTTTTTTTTTTTTTTTGGTGGAGGTCAATGTCAAGTTTAGAAACACCACATACGCCCAAAGCAGTAGTATACATATATTGTTAAA